AATCCCATCTACTAAACCAAGTATTTAATAACATTTAATTATGTTTATAAATTTCTAAAAAAAAATTCCAATCATTATATTAATGATGGGTGTACGTGTTCTAATCTCTAACAAACTTGTCCCAAATAACTCACAAAACAGATTTTCATCAGTAAAGTACTTCATTATTCAGTGAAGCAAAACATATTGTTGATCTCTATAGCGTTTAATGAAATTTACCATGAAAACAAAAATTGCCAGGTTTAAGAAAAATCCATACAATATTTGCTTCAGAAAAGTTTCCAAATGCTTCAGAGAATATCCTTTAGTTGACAATGCAAATATTTCCTATTCTATGTTACAAAAATCTAGTGTCTATATTTACACAATGTATGCATATCTCATTGGTACAAGCAGCGCGCGCATTACGTTACCATGCCAAGTCGTATAATATGATCATATTACTGTGCCAAATCATAACCCCGGAACTGGCATCATGTTATAATAAAATGGCTTAAATAGTTTAGTTTTTAATGTTTTAGTTTTTTAAAGGAGGCTATGCAGGTAAAAAACAGCCCCCTTGACCATTATCTGAGTGTGTCTGTCTCTCCATTATTTTGCCCAGCAACTCTGTGACCTAATGGACAATTTCAATCAAATTTGTGAGTGGAATAAACATTTCAAAGGTGGTTGTAGTTTAAATTTCATTTCAGTGGGTGGGTGTGTATGGGCGATAAACTGATACCCTGAGAGAAGGAGAAGTAGCTGTTCTACCTTTCCAGGCAGCTGCTGCCTGGCCCAGCAGCATGTCCCTCTCAGCCAGCCACTCATATCTGCAGGGTAACCATCAGACACAGGAGGAATCTGGTAGTAGTGGCAGAGGAAAATTAAAAGACACACCTGTAGAAAACTGGTTTTCAATGTTTCAATTGCTCTTAAAGAAATTGCTTTTTTAAAAAAAGTCATTAAGAAGACTTCTACTTAGTCTGTTTGCATCATGCTGGGCTTGATCTCAGTGTGTCCTGTTTTCATTGTAATAAAAAAAGCAAAAAATGTTTCTAGATTTTATGATAAAGTCATCAAATAATGTGGCTGAAAAGAGGAATGAGAATACAAGTCCTAAACCTTACCTGTGGCCCTAAAGTCACCCTTCCTGTAATCCTTATGAATCATTGTGTGTGTTTGTTTGTTTGCATTTCCAAAATGACACAGGTACAACTGTAAACATCCCCAGCTAGACAGAAGCTGTAGGTATTAACTCTTTTAGTGACAATCTCAGGCTTAGTTCCCACTTACTAGTTCTCTTTGCCTGAAGCCTTTTAAACAGCCCTGTGCCCTGCTTTGGTGTCCTTTTCCTACTCCTCTCTCTTCTTGGCCCCTGTCCTCCCATTAGTACACTTAACATCATTTGCAGACACTTACCCTCTCTTGCCGTTACCTACTGCACTATTATTTTATATTCCCTTTTTCAGCAACTGTCTCTTCTACGTCTTGCTGGTGTGAACTTACAATTAAATTGACATAAAACTGCTCACATACAGAGTGACAAAAGTAATTTCACCTGTTGTTCTATTACTACTTTGAAACAATATTATAAAGAGAAGAAATGTCCTTTTAACCTATGTAAGTTGTACTACTTTGCTATTATGGAACCAAATTCATGAATCAAATCAGTGGAAAGGCTCCTATTGATTTCATTGAGCTTCTGGACAGTACTTCTCTCACATTTCTTTAGATGCCATATAATTTCTATTTTTAATTGTCATTTTAACAAATTTTATACTACTGCTACTAAAAGTAAAGCTTGCTACACAATAATTCCTTGAAAACCTTTTTAGTCTTTTTAAAAGAGAAACGATTTTGTATGTTTTAATCCTCAGACATAGTAACTGATCTTAATGACTGCATATTTTTAACAGTTCATTTACCTTGTTTTCAGATTCTGTAAGAATGCTTGATGACTACCATTTAGTTAGATGCTTTTTGCTCTTTAAGAATCTCACCACTGACACCCCAGTACACACCCACATCTCAGCTTTGTTACTAAGAAAAAGTTGACCTGAGGAAATGAGTTTGTTTCATTTATTATGAGTACCTAGAGTATAGAAATATAATTTCTCTGCATTTTTTTTCTTTTATAGCTGGTCAACCAATAGGCCCAACAGTTTTGTAAGGCTTCTTCATACTGGTAAAGCATATGTTTATTTATTAGCAGATAATTCATTCTCTTATATATATGGATTCCTTGTTCCTCATATTTGCTCCTTGGACTTTCTAATTTTACTTCTTTCTATTGTTTTCAAGGTGATTGGATTTGAGTTTTCCCAATCATACATTTTAGGCTCAAATAATCTAAATACTGAACCTTGACATTTAACTATATTGATCTGTTCCTTGTCTCCCTCTTTTCTTTTAGTTGTTTAGGGATATTTGTTCTGAGACTTCTGTGCTATGCTTAAGCACCCTCCACACTAAGACTAAAGATTTTCATTTCAACACTTCTGACTGAGGGTGTTTCCTATTTATTTCCATTTTTGGGGGGTGTTTTTGAATGTAGAAAGGTTTACCTGTCTGTCCTTGCTGAGAATAGAATAATAAAGAACTGGATTTTACCATGAACACTTGCCCAAAAAAGACTCAATACTGTTCTATTATGTTTGCAATAAAACAGCATTTAAAAAAAAATTTAATTTGGAGATGTGTCCTGTTATTTTCTGTTATTTTGGTTGAGGTCAAACTATAGCTTCCAATAAACAAACATTTAGAGTATTAAAAAGAATATTCCAAATCATAATTTAACTGCTCCATATATAATTAATTGCTAGGGCTGTTATATTGGACTTTGCTTCACTGTTGAACTTCTATACAGAGTATTTAATGTATTTTTCTTGATTGTCAGATAGTGTAAGTCTTCTGTGTATTTCTGTTATTAAAGATTTGCATTTTGTCTATGTATTAGTCTCTCCACAGTCCAGCTTTCACACCAAGCTGTTAATAAACACTTTTAATTTTGTTTTTATTTTGTTTCACTTTTTCAGCAATAAATATACACTATATATTCAATATATAGTGACATGGCACAGCACTGGCATGCATTTGCATTACCTTCATACATTTCATTTTTGACTGATGGAGGTATATAAAATTATGATGCCAGTCTAAGCTACCAACTACGTAGTGCTACAAATTTGACAGAAAAAGTATTTTAGATATATTGTAAAATCATCGTATAAATAAAATATTCATTACTTGCACAGGTGGATTAAAATCAATAAATGCCATTTTGTTGTTACAAACTGTCTGATGTAACAACCATCAGCCTGACAGAGGCATATATTCATATGCAGGCACATTTTTTATGTGGCTTTTTCCAGTAAGGCACCTAAGTCTCTACTGGGTTTAAGAGCTACAATTTTTAAAGATGCCAAGATGATATGATTTCCAAGAAATCATTAGAAATAGCTAATAAACAGCCATACGTAAAAATGAGCACTAAAATGCTGTTCTGCTGAAGTTAACAGCAAAAACCACAGTGACTTGTAGAGCAAAGCATAGGAGTTTCATTTATCATCATCACCTGGCAGTCAGTCATAGGTTTGAAGATCCATTGCTAGTGCTTCAGATTTTATTTTTCCTCTAAGTATTCCATGCATGTTGTTGGTGTCAAGGGGATGTTGTAAGCTGCAAGATGTTTGATAAAAAAGGCAGATTTTACAAGCAAAGTCTCCAGTTACTTGTATAAGGGGTTGTATAGTTTTTCTCTTAATTCAGAGTCCTGAGTACTTGTTTTACAAACTGCAGAGTGCCCTCAAATGTATTGAGTTCATTGTGGAGTCAGAGTATTTATTGTGTAATGCTGAGTCATATATTAAAAAAAAAAAGTATTCACTAGGGTGGAGAAAAAAAGTGATGGAGACACTAGCCTCCTCAAACAAAAAAAATCAAATTCATCCTGGGTTATGAGTTTGTTTTTTTTTTTAAACGAAGTAAACCATGAGAAATATTGTCAGAAATATATTACATTGAATATGCCACCTTAAGACAAAACATTTTTTTTTATTCCTGCTGGTGCTCTCCTGCTCTGAAAGGAAACTAGAGTTACCATACGTGTACACACTTAGGCAGAGTGTCTACCCCACAGTTTGTGTATACATATATGTATGTATATGTATATGCCATCGGATGCACACACCAAGTATATACCCCAGATGCAGCAGTATCTCTAGCACGCTAGAGGGAGCCATTACATAATTGCAATGACCCTTCCCCCCCTCCAATTAGCAGAACTGGCGTGGAAAAATCGCTGGACATCCTGAGACGTCTTGAAGGTTTGGCAGAAGGCTATAAAATAAGGAGAGGAAAGCAGAGAACTCGAGTTACAGTCAAATGAGGTCTCCTGATAGCTCAGGGGCTTATGCTGCTGTTTGTTAAACTTTAAATATTGTGCTGCTTTTATAGGGAACTTCTCCAAATATGTGACTTAGCCAAATACGCCAATTTTCATCAGCCAATCTGAAGCCCTCATGCAGAAAGCAAAGCCCATTTTGTAAACATATCCTTTATTTCATCTGTCTGTCGCTCTCACACAGAAAGTTGGCACGTCTGAGAGTAGTGGTTTTCCCCTGCCACTAATATATAGTTTATTTATACACTGCATTTTAACACAGTATTAGTTCTATAACGGTTAACAGCAGACTTGTTCTGTGTAGCAAACTATCCATTTCACAGCTACAAAGAGATCCTCAGGACGGGAAGATGGGTCTGGAAAGAACACTGATTTGAATTTATAAATTTGCCAGACTTTCTCCAAGTCAAATGATATTTATGGACATAATAACTCAGGGTTGAAGGTTATCCTACTGAGTAAGGCGAAGGAGAAGCTGCCTTAATTGAATCTTTTAAAAGACGCTCCTAAAATAATTCAGGAGCGTCTTATAAGTGCTACTGAGTATATTTTCCCTTTTTAATTTTTTTTTCTCTTTTTTCTTCCCCTTTCCCCCTAAATGATTCTTGCTACTTACACGCTGGTCACAAATGGCAGCTTCATGTCGGTACGCACGGGTCGAGACCGGTGCTCCGGCAATCCGAGCACGCACCTTTCCAGCCTCGGTCCTCTCCCCGCAACCACCGCCCCCGGCCGGGAGACTCCTGCCGCGCCGCTTCGGGCGGGGAGAGGAGTGGGGAACGCTGCTGCGGCCCCGGCCCCTCACCCGGGGCTATCCCGCGCCGCGGCCCCGCGGGCAGGCGGGGGATACTCCCGCACTCGGGACCTGCCCCTCGGGGAGGGGAGACCCTCTCGAGGCGGCTCCGCAGGGCCAGGGCGGAGGTGACGGCGGGGGGTTGTCCTCATCCACACACACCCCTCCCGACATGCCTCCTCGGATCGGCGGCTCGCCGGGGTGCTCGGGGACCGCGCAGCGGAGCCAAGTCCTCCCCCTCGCAGCGCTTTGGGCGAGTTCGGGGTTGTCGCGTCCCCCCTCCTTTCCCACCCGTAACAAGCAAGACTTGTTAATACGTCTCAAAAAATAAATAAATAAGCGGGCGGGGGGGAGATGTAGATATAAATAAATAACTAACGCGGAGCCGGGAGCGGCCGAGGGGGGCCGGTGGCGCTGCGGGGCGCGGCAGCGAGACCCCGCATCCCTCCCGCCCAGCCGGGCTGCTCGCGCGCTGCGCGTCCCCCTCCGAGCCGATCTAATCAATGACACCCAGCGCCCGCCGCAGCCACGCCCCCCGCCCGCCCGCCGCCCGCCCGCCGCCCGCCATTGGCCGGTGGAGGCCGGGGCCGGGCGCCGCCGCCGCCGCCGATTGGCTGGCACTGAATCCGTATCAATGTTTAAGCCGCGGCGTGAGGTGAATAGCGGCAGTCGGAGAGCGGCGCTGGGCGAGCGCGGCGCGGCGCGGCGGCCCCGCGAGTGCTGCAGTGAGGGAGGCGAGGCGGAGAGGGGCGGGGGGGGGGGGGGGGGGAGAGAGAGAGAGAGAGAGCGAGAGCGAGCGCGAGCGAGCGAGCGTGCGAGGCAAAGCAAAGCGCGGCTCCAACTGTTGAATTTTCTCTGAATTCTCCACTTACCTGCGGGCGGCTGGTGAAATGGATCTGGTTTATCTGGGATCGGCGTTCGCTCCGCGTGCTGCCTGGCTAAGACTGGCGACCGTCTGTTTGCAAGGGGCCACCCATCAATGAGGCAGAGAAGAATATTTGTTTTTTCTTCTTTTTCGTTTGAAAGCCTCCCTACCACACGTTGCAGAATTAACTGTGTACTTTGGGTCCGGACTCAAATAAAGGAGAAAAAACGGTGCAGAACTGAGACTCGGAACTAGATCTGTGAGCAATGTATTGGGAACCTATATTTTTATTGGGTTTTTTTTTCTTTTAATTTGAAAGATTTCTGATTTATTTCACACATAACACTGAGGAAAGGTGGTTAAAAACACTCAGCAAAGCAGGAATCAGACGCGCCTCTGTGCCAGTGAGTGGATAACAGCCTTGTTTTCCTGATCCTCAGTCTCCCGGAGAAAGAGGTATAGTAAAAGTGTAGCTGGATCCAACACCCCCCCCTTCTTTTTTTTTTTTTTCCTCCTTTCTTCCCTCCCCCCTCTCCAAAATATAAATCTGATTAATTTTTTTCCTGTCTATAGAGTGAGTCAGAGAAGCGTTAGGAAGAAGCTGCAACTAATGCCTGTGAAGGGAGAAACATGAGGCGATAGTCAATGTGATTTGTTCCGCTGGATCTGACTCATCCAAGCAGATTGAAACACCTGCATTTCTGGATTTGACATTCATTTATTTCAGGTTGTTAAAAGAACTTGAAATAAAATTTTGCTACCCTTCCCCACTATTTACCTATACACTGTATCGCTGGGAAAGGTGTTTGTCGGAGAGGGGGAGCGCATCTGGCGTTGCCGCCGCTCTTCTCCCCTGTACCAAGATGCCCAGAGAGACTGTTAAAGCTTTGAAAGGACTGCAAAAAATGCATCACACAGATCGCGGAACTGCATAGGTTTTAATGTAAGCTAATTAGTCGATTAAAAGATCTCCCACTTTATTCATCGCCAGGATTGTTTTTCCTCTTCTCCCTTCCCCTAAATGAAGAGGACTAGGCGGCAGTGTCATTGGAAGGAGACGCTGAATAGAAAGAAAAGAGAGGCACTTGACAGCGCAGCCCTGTGAATACATAGACTGTTTTCCTTTTAGCGAGAGACTAAGAAAGAGTGAGAGTGTGTGTGTGTGTGTGTGTGTGTGGTGGCGGCGGCTTTTCTTTCTCTCTCCCGCAGCCCCCCCTCCTCCCTCTTGCTCTCTTTTTTTTTTTTTTTTTTAATCTATGCGTCCAGCCACGGGTTGCCTGTTGCTTTCCTCTCGGCTGGAGAGAATAGCAAACTGGCATTAAACTGCATCGAGAAAGTGCAGCTCCTCAGACACGCATACGCACACACGCATAGATACACAGAGAGAAAGGATGTGGTAGTGGCGGCGGCTACTGGCCTGTCTTAAAGAAAACCAAATGTGCTGCTGATAGAGCACGGCCTGAGCTTTCTCTCAAAATACATATTTACTGTTAATGATGAAGGTCAACTGGTGGGTTTCTTAATTTTTTCGCCCCAAGAGGACGAGTGGGAGGCTGGTAGTAGAAGGAGAGAAAGGAAACTACAAATCCGGACACTAGTTTTTGCTGGTGGGGGGGGGGGTGGGTTTTTTGTTTGTTTTTTTTGTTTGTTTGTTTATTGTTGTTGGGGTTTTTTTCATGTGTTTTGTTTTCCCCTCTTGCCCTGCAGTCCTCGTTCTCACTCCCTTTGATTCGGGAAGGAAACAGTGAGGGTGTACGAGACAGAGAGGGGGGAAATACCGATGGCAGCGAGATGCAGCCCTCCGCCGCAAGCAATGCAAGATTAGATCTCTAAATGCAGCAAAACACTCCCTGAAAACCAACAACCCCGCGGTGCAATCAGACATTTCACTACCTCTCACTGCACACGAAGAGGGCTTCAACAACAAGCTGAGACTTTTTTTTTCCCTTCTGTCTCTCTCCTACCCCTCCACTCCATCAATCGCATCACAAGCGATGAGTAGCAAATAAGCTTTTTTATCTCTTGCTACAGACCTGTGACCACCCTCCTTTCCTATGTATATATAAATACACATATTTAAGAAAAATATTTTTGATTTAAAAAAAAAAACCAAACTACTGCCGCCGATTTTTTTTATTATTGTTATTATTTTTATTATCCTTTGTACGTCTGCTGGGATTCAAGGATCAGGAACACATCGCCTGCCTGGAGGAGAAGATCTTTTGCAAATTTTCTGATTTTTGAAACCCTCCCACTGCAGAAGTTGAACAGCCGAAGTGACTGCGAGGGGACTGCAAGCACGGCAAGCTCTTGCTGTAACGCTGGCGAAGCTGTTCCCTCCCTCCCCTCAGCCCCCCCCCATCACGATTGCTTCCTCCCTCTGAGCTACATGGTCTATTTGCTGCTTCCCATCCTGTGTCTCTGCAGACGTTTTAGAGCAACAGGTTCAGGAACTTGAAATATAGGGGTGGGGAGAGAGAAGGGAAAAAAAAAAGAAAAAGGAAGGAAAAAAAAAAAAAAGAGCCGTCGGAGGAGGAAGAACAACCCCAGTGCAGGAGGCAAAGAACACGGGGACAACCCTGGTCGTCGCTGCAGCCCCGGCCACCTCCACCCCTTGCTCGGGGATGTACCTTTCCATTTGTTGCTTTTTCTTCTTCTGGGCTCCTGCCCTGTCACTAAAGAACCTGAATTACTCGGTGCCAGAGGAACAGGGAGCGGGCACGGTCATCGGGAACATCGGACGCGATGCGCGGCTGGCGGCAGGCACGGGGGGAGGCGGAATGCTGCCTGCGGAGCGTGGCGCTCCCGGTGGCGGTCGCGGCCCCAAGTCCACCTTCCGGGTGCTGGAGAACTCAGCCCCGCACCTCCTGGACGTGGATGGGGAGAGTGGGCTGCTCTACACCAAGCAACGCATTGACCGTGAGGCGCTGTGCAGGCGCAGCGCCAAGTGCCAGTTGTCCCTCGAGGTGTTTGCCAATGACCAGGAGATCTGCATGATCAAAGTGGAGATTCAGGACCTGAATGACAATGCACCATCCTTCCCCTCTGACCAAGTGGATATGGACATCTCAGAAAATGCTGCACCAGGCACCCGCTTCCCCCTCACCAGCGCCCATGACCCAGACGCTGGGGACAATGGTCTGCGCACCTACCTGCTCACCCGTGATGACTATGGCCTCTTCTCCCTTGATGTGAAGTCCCGTGGTGATGGCACAAAGTTTCCAGAGCTGGTCATCCAGAAACCATTAGACCGTGAGGAGCAGAGTCATCACACCCTGGTACTGACAGCACTGGATGGTGGTGACCCACCGCGTTCAGGCACGGTGCAGATCAATGTGCGTCTCATTGACTCCAATGACAACAGCCCCATCTTTGAGGCGGCCTCCTACGTGGTAGAGCTGCCGGAGAATGCACCCCTAGGCACTGCTGTCATCGACCTCAATGCCACTGATGCTGACGAGGGTACCAATGGAGAGGTGCTCTACTCCTTCAGTGGCTACGCTCCTGAACGCGTCCGTGACCTGTTTAGCATCGACCCACAGAGCGGCCTCATCCGTGTCAAGGGCAACCTGGACTATGAGGAGAGCGGCCTCATTGAGATTGATGTCCAGGCTCGGGACCTGGGGCCCAATCCCATCCCCGCTCACTGTAAGGTCACTGTCCGCCTCATTGACCGCAATGACAATGCTCCCACCATTGGCTTTGTCTCTGTTCGCCAGGGAGCACTGAGTGAGGCTGCCCCACCAGGCACCGTCATTGCCCTGGTGCGGGTCACTGACCGTGACTCAGGAAAGAACGGGCAGCTCCAGTGTCGGGTGCTGGGCGGTGGCGGCGGGCCCGGTGCCGTTCCTTTCACCCTGGAGGAGAACTATGACAACTTCTACACTGTGGTCACTGATCGACCTCTAGACCGTGAGGCACAAGACGAGTACAATGTGACCATTGTGGCACGTGATGGGGGCAATCCCCCACTTAACTCCACCAAGTCATTTTCCGTCCGTATCCTTGATGAGAATGACAACCCACCCCGCTTCAGCAAGAACCTTTATGTCTTACAGGTGCCTGAGAACAACATCCCTGGAGAGTACTTGGGTTCAGTCTTGGCCCAGGACCCCGACCTGGGCCAAAATGGGACGGTGTCTTACTCCATTTTGCCCGGGCATGTGGGAGATGTCTCTATCTACACCTATGTCTCTGTCAACCCTACA